ATGTGCCTGATTGCACTCAAGCTTTCGTTTGGCCAAGCCAATTGTTTACCTTGCATTGTTAGTTTGACAGAGCGTGTTTTCGACCAAGCTCCTTTCCTTCTTCCGTTGCCCGAAGCCAGATTTTCCAGATTGCGTTGTTTGCAGCATGTTGCCCCAAACTGGATCCAGGCACGGGTGTTTGTTTCCAACATGAAGGAGATCATCGGGCATGCGTTTCAGTGGAAGGCGGCCTCTATGTGGCGACTTTCTGGTGGTGACGGGAAGCCAAAGGCAAATGGTGGGGTTTCCAGGTTCTGGGTCCTTGTTCCAGGTTTTGGGTCCCCGCCCCTTTCCCCCCTCCTCCCCACCCATGGTCATGGCCCCCAAGGCAAGGGGTTGGCTGAGGGTTGGTTGGTTTGGAATGAGTTTAGGCTGCGTTTGGAGTTAGCTGCGGGGCGTACGCAGCAAGGCATATTTTTTGTTGTTGGTTCGGGTTCTTTTCTCAAGCGTGACCAAAAGGATCATCTCCGGTGTGCGGCTGCAGGGCCCGCCCTTTGGACAGAGCAACCTGTCAAGTGAACAACTCCACTGGAGCTCCGCCGCATGCTCCACGGCAGTGGGCACATCTTTCGGGTTATGCACTGCTAGCCAGGCTAACATTGTTAAATACGGGGATTTACCACCTGCGCAGGCCCCTTCTTGCTTTGCCAGAGTGAGCCTCCACAGGATGCCTTTGACTTTCGCACGGCCGCTCTTTTGCTCTGACCGGCCCTCTCGTACAGCCGCTGGCGCGAAAACACAGACACGCACACACACAAGCAAACAAACGCCAACGCAAAATGCCCAGCTTCTCTTTTTCAGTGTGGCAAAGGTCATAGGCATGTGGGATTGAGTTCCAGTGGCCCATCGCATGTTGCAGCCACAGGCATTTGCTGCGCTGACTGCATTGGCAGCGCACAGATTTCCCGCAAGGGAAATTTGCCTTTCCGACCCATTTCTAGACAGCCGGATGGGCAGCTGTCGATGCTGGGGCGGAAGCGAGAGGCCAGGAGAGCTATCGCCCGTCGCGTGCTTCCAGTTCTGTGTGTGTGTGTGTGTGTGTGTGTGTGTGTGTGTGTGTGTCAGGGATGGTTGATGGACATGTTGGGATAGATATGCGTTTTCTTGACCTTCGGCGTTTGCAGCTCGTAGCAGGCACGCGCAAACCAAACAACTATAAATCTGCGCAGCCAGGCATCTTCTGGTCCCAAGGCTGTGAAGCGCAGGCCGGGCGCCTGTCACTGCTCTATGTCAGATCGAGGCTCCAATGGCCCGTTTCACAAGAAGCACCCGTTTTGCTGGTACCATCGACAGGTCGTTTTGGACCACAGGTTGAAGGGCTGACGTAGAGGCGACCAGATCGATCACCAGTTGCTTGTAACTTGTTTGCGTTCTCTGTTTGCTGGGTTACAGACATCTCTAGTGCTTCCTGGGCACGTGTGAGGACCATCAGGACAGAGCTGAGCTTTTCTTTCCTAGCAGGTGGCAGGAGGAGAAGAAGGAAGAAGAAAGCGGGGATGAAGCCATCACTGCAGAGGAGCCAGCCCATTGGTGGAAGTCAGGGGCATGCTTCGGAGTGCGCGGGCTTAGTGGGCTTTCCCGGTTTTGCCATTCATCATTTCCAGTTGGTTCCATTGCCGCTCGGCAAACTGAAATTGCCAGCCTGTTCTGCAAAGCTGCCATGGGCGAGACAGCCAGCATGGTTTGCCAGCTGCATGGAGGTGGCGTTCCGGAACAGTTGTCGCTCCATTCCGCCACTCAGATGGAAGGCGCGAATGCGCAAACAACATGGGCGGTGAGGCAACTGTCCGAACCAAAGCCACGACTGGCAGCTGGGCTTCAAATGGGCTTTGCAGCATGAAGCGTCAAGCAAGTCCCCCTGAGGTGCTAATACCCAACACTACTTGGCTATGGTCATAGTACGGGTGAGGCTTGCACCTGGACAGGGAGGTGAAACAACCCTCAGTAAAGTCGGTTTCAAATACTTATGAATGTCTACTGCATGATTCGATATTCATTCATTCTGGACTGCAGGTGTTGGCCCAAGAAGCCTGCTGTCTTTTACCCATCAAACTTGTTCTGGTGTGTTGAGGCCGGGGCTTATTTTGCGGCGTTTAGATAAGTGAACTGTGCCCTAGAACGTGGCCGGCACCCCTTTCTCGATACCCATCGCATGGGTCATGCTCATCATACCGGCGGGCTTGATGCGCATTATCTTGGACACGATGGCTGCAACATGTACCAGCACCGTTCAAATCAGTATTTATTAGAGCAAATGGACACCCCGTTTCACCATGCCCTCCACGAACACTCATTTGCCTTGAAGAAATAGTCGAAGCTCGCAGAGCGCGGGCCAATGGATCAAGAAGGGTGAACCTGAGGAGGTCCAGATACGTTGCCATGTCAGAATTCCCGAGCGGACACCTTTTTTAGGTGGCCCGGAGATATCCCGCAGATCTGCGGGGTATTCGCTTGCCTGACGAGAAAGCCACTGCGAGAAAAACACACTATGGATGGGTTACACCACTTCGAAACCATGGGAACCATTGTTTGTTGGCATTGTACACCATGGGTATCATCATTCCCAGGTTGCAGGATTTTGTCCATCCACGGTATGGCGGGCGCCGCACGGACCGCAGGAGTTGGAGCAGTGGCGTCTCCAGGAGGAAAGGGAGGCGCAGCAGCGAGAGCAGCGGGAGCGCGAGGAGCGGCGAGAGGCCAAGCGCCAGGCGCGGTGGTTCTCGGGTCCACATGCGGTCAGGAGGATGGATGAGTTTCAGTTTTTCTCTGTGTGTCTTTGTTTGTTCCTTTGTTTGTTTTTGTTGTTTCCTTTTGTTTGTCTTAGTTGGTTCTTTGTTTGGTTTTGTTTTCTATGTTTTTCCTGTTTTTGCTGAGCTACCTGAAATTTGGGGTTTTCTAGTCAAAAAAGAGACGCTGCCCACCTGGTTTGACACCCGAGTTTGCGCGAGTCCGAGTTGCGAGTCCGAGTTGCCTCGAGTCAGTTCCGCGAGTCGGGCCGCTGCATGTCGATCCAGCTCCATTGTCGAGTCAGCGACTCTAACGTCGCGAAGGTCGGGACAGTCTGATCTGGACCTCCTAGGGAAGATCAAAGACCCAAAAAGGTTTGCATACTTGGGCAGCCTTGTTGTTTTTCCAAAATCATTTATTGGTCGCTTCTTTTCCTTGCCATGTTTCCATCATCGGGTTGGCATCTCTGCCTATTTGTTATAGTACCTTATTTCACGCCTAGCACTCCTGGAGCTTCAGCATTGCCAGGCAGAGGAGGCTGCCAGAGCTGAGGAAGCTGCAAGAAAGGCACAGGAGGACATTGTTCTGGGAGGTGTATGGGCATTGGCGGCGAGCTTTCACCCTTGGCCTATTTCTGTTGCCTAACAAGACCAAGGCCACAGCAGCCTCAGCTCTCTTTGTTGCCTCCCCCGCTGGACCTGCCAAGGTCAAAGGGGTTGGCAAGGACCCTGACTTTCATTTTGCTGCCAGTGAAACCAACCCCGAAACGGCCATGGTCAAGAATCACAACATGTGGTTTGGGGCGATCCATCAAACAGAACTAGAGTGCTACAGGGATCACGCCGCTTCGCGCTGCAGAAACTAACTCGGCACATCACAGGTTCGTTTAAACACGTCTTTATCTTCCTGTGATCCTTCAATCAGTGACCCGAAAGTGTTGACAATTGTACCTCCGATACAAGCTTTGCATGTCGGAGGGTTTATTCTTGCAAACATGGTATGCCACATATATATATATATATATGTTTTTTCTATCTTCATGCTCACCCATGTGGCGCGAAGAGCCGCCACCTGAAGACCAGACTTATTTTCGTTGGGAACAAAGTCATTGTCAAAGCGGTTCTTTTCGCGCCAAAGAGCCCGCAATCTTCGCTCAGGAGGCCTCCCGTGCCCGGAGCCGGAGTCGCTCGCCTTCGCTATCTGACTTGGCCGGGCTTCTCGGGGCGGGTCACCGCGTGGGTTTTCTTTAGATGTGTGTTCTAGCCGGGGAGACCTAAGTTGCAGCCTCAAATTGAATTCATGCCAGCATCTTTAGTTTTTGGTTTTAAGTGAGCAGGAGAGGCTAGCAAAGACTTAAAGATCCGATTGAACGATCATATTGAGACATCCCGCCGTGCTTTCATTTCGGTTTGGGTTTGTGGCGACATTGGGACACTTGCTCGCACGTTTCCAAGATCTGCCCTCAAGGATTCCGATTCCACAAAGGGTGTCTGCATTCAGCTGCATGCTTCATAGTCCCTAGTGAAGCAGTGAATGCAATGAAGGGTGCCCTGAAGCGTGGCTGCATTCTTCATAGTGCTTAAGGAGTGAACACGAGGACTTCGCTTCCCGCCGCTTTCCCGCCGGCTTCGGGGACTCCCGTTGCAGGAGGCGGCCTTCGCTGAGGAGCCAAAACCCCTTGAAGGCGGCCGGGGTTGGGGATGGGCGGCGCGGACCCCTGGAAAGCCATGCGGCTTGCCATGTGGCATGGAGCTGGCAAAGCTGCACATGCAAAATGTGTGAAAGTAGGTCAGGCCCAAACAGAAATGTAAGCTGCAAAATTTCGGCGATCAGAGAGGCCGACAGGCCGAATCAAAGTCCGCGACGGATTTCGGGGAGTGCAGGGGGAACGGCGGATTCAACCTTACTGGTCCCCAGGAAAGTGAAGGATTTTGATGGGCATCTCCAACCAGTAGGCGTTTTATCCTAGGCTTCCATGCAAGGGTGGAAAACAACCTGGGCTGCGACATGCTTCGTTACCTTTCCCATGTTGCCCGGGTTAGCTGCATGAGGCAAGTTGTGTTGTTCGTTTTGGGATTGCCTCATGCAGCCACGCCCTGTTGAAGCCACTTGTTTTTCTTGGTGGGTGTGTTTCTTCTCGATTGACGTGCATGTCTTGCGGCCATTCTTGCGGCTGCTCTCGCAACTCCGCAGGGGCTCGAACAGGTGGTAGCTTGCATGGCCTTCAGCATGCCATGCCCGAGGGTGCCCCAGCTTCCTCGAAGAGTTTAGTTTCAGAGGGCGACGCCTCTACTTCCTCCAAGGAGCGCGAGAAGAAGGAGAAGCCAAAGACCGCTTCCAAGTCGAACCGGGGAACCGGCGCCATTGATGCCGCAACTTGGAGTCAGAAGACCCAATCCAACTTGAACAATGTGAGGGCGATCAGGGAGGCCGCCCTGGCCAAGCTGAACAACGGCACTCTGGTGACCACTGACTCGGTGCTGGGCTCGAGCCACAACTACTCCGTGGCCCAAGACCGCTTGAAGCGGCGGACGGCGGAGATGGAGGGCATTAGTACAAAGGTGGCAGACAAGATCGAGAGCAGCGAGCAGTGGACCCTTGGCTTTAGATATGAATGGCTTTCTCTGTATGTGTTGCTGAAGCCCGGGCTGAGGGACGGCATTCCATGTCCATACTTTTTAGAATCAAACTCCCAAAAATTGCTCCAAACAAAGCTAGGTGTGAATGAATGTCTCCAGATTTCATTGCTGTAGCTCTCCAGGCAGATTATGTGTAGCTGCACCCCCACCGAGCCCCTTGCTCGGACCAGTACTATTCTGAGTAAATCATGCAGGAGCACAGCTCTTGTCATCTAGAGGCCGTCCTTTGTGCTTCCAAGCCCACCTAAAAGAGCCGTTTTGCTTCTTGCGGAGGATCCAGCGCATGCATCACGCCCTCAACAACCTGACCCGCTTCAATGGTCAGCTCACTGCCGCCCTCAGCGTGGTGGAGAAGCGCATGGAGATGCGCGCTGCACGACCCCAAGAGGAAGGGCATACTTAAAAAAGACGAACGCACCTGGCTGAAACGAGAGACAGAGAAGGGCTCCATGGTAAAAAGTCCATTAATTGTTCCGTGGGATTGTGTCAATCTTGTGAAGCGTGACTACCGACGCTGCACCGAACAACACAATTCAATCTTGTGATAGACATGTTTCGTGCATGGCTGCCTGGTCAGGAGCTGGTGAGGGACGGCTTCCAGGAGGCCCTGGAACGGGAGAAGGCGCAACTTCTGAAGGGCCGCCAGCAGGTTGCCAGTTGCCTCTCTGAAGGCCGCGAGATTCTAGCACTCCTGGAGGACAGGCTGGGGAACTGAAGGCTGGATTTATGTGGCTTTTCACTTGAAACGTGGGGCCCAAAAGGTGATCGCTGTTGCTGTCAGGGTTTTTGTTCGGATCGATCGGCATTGTAGTAGTCCAACATATCCAACTGTCCACACGCGGTCCATTGCCCAGGAGCTGAACGCTGAGGTGTCCAAGGACCGCCTGGCGTTGCCCCAGGAGCGGTGGAAATTGGAACATTCAGACCCTGGCCCCCGAGAAACCCACCGGAGCTTGTTCACACCAAGAGCTAGAGGAAACGTAGGAGAGGAGGTAGAGGCTGCTCCACATGGCGGCTGGGAAACCAAAAGGAAACCCTGGCCTTTTTTGGTGACCGCCATTTTGAGAAACACCCAGCTGGAGGTGTTTCCAACAATCATGGTTTAATTTTCTTCAGGAACTGGGTGTTTGATTCTGGGCCTCAACTGGATGGTAGCTTTCCGAAAGTCTCCTGTCCGCTTTTGTCTTTTGATGGAAAGATGATAAAACATGACTCAACAGAAAAGTGGTGCCAAGTCGTTTCGGTTTGTAAAGTTTAAACATTATTGAACTTAATCAAGCATGCCTATTGAACTGTGATTTGAGCGATTCTAGCTGCTAGCATCATCAAACTAAAGGTCCTTTACTCGGGGATCCCTTAAGAATTATTGTACACTTTGCAGAAACATGGCTGTGGGTCAAAACTAATGGTACCATTTTTGGGTAGGTGCACCACCCATTTTCGTCTATTTGAGTGGGGATTGGGATGTTCACTGGGGGTACGAGCTTTTGACCCATGGCCACACGTTTTTAAGCCGCAAATTAAACGAGGCAGTGCCTGAGGACAAGACAGCTCGGCCCCAGCAGCTTCTCGACAAGCTGAGGGCCTCCGAGGCGAGTTGCGGGCGATTCTGCGAGCATCAGGCCAACAAGACACAGGACCGTCTTTTTGTCGTCCCTTTCAAAATCATCAGACACGAGGCCAATCCATTCCCGCTGGTCCGAGGTCAGCACGCCTCACTGGGCTAGAACGGTGAATCTCCATAACCATGGGTATGTGTCAAAATGGGGGGGGGGACCCACAAATTTGTCGCTTTCTGACCCCAAAAAGGGTGCCCTCGACAAACGGTGCCCGCACCATGTGCAGTTTTTGGTTGCCACGGCCATTGTTTGCCGTACCGCCAGGAGCTTCAGCAGGAGGACGGGCTGTGGGATGGTGGGCTCCAAAAAGGTTTGGCGTTGCCATCCCAGAAGCCCCCCCAAACCCGAAAGGCCCCCCCCCAAACTCCTGAGCTTTGTCATTGCTTCTGTTGTTTATAAGTTGTTTTTCTCATTTGTTCATAACGTGTTTTCAATAGTTGTCCTGTTCTTCACAGCTTCCCTGTCCGTTTCCGGAGCGAGGCGGAGCGCCTCAGCGGGCGCACCTTCAGCGCCATGAAGCGCCGCATCGCGGAGCTCCAGGAGGTGCGGCGCCAGCTGGAAGCCGAGGCGCGGGAGCGCGGTGGGAAGTCCATGCCTGCGATTGTGGCTCAATGTTGACCCTGGATTTTTAAACCCGAGACCCATTATTAGTGGGTGTTCCCTCCAAAAGTGGTCTGAATCCCCACTAAAAGGAATTGGACACCCCCCGATCAAAATCAAGCAGGTTTATTGGTCCGGAGTTAACATTATGAGGAACCCCTGAATGTCTACGGAAACCTTGGTGGCTAGACGGTTCGCCTGTCTCCGATACCAAGCGATCTTGGATTTTGGGACCTAAATCAGGGGGCAGACAAAGTCGGTGGTGTTCGGTACATAGATGTGGGCCAAGTAACGTGGGTCCTTGGCAAGAAATCTCGATGGAGGACACCTCCGTAGTTGGCTGGTGGACCTCTTAGTCAATGTGAGCTGCGCCCCTAAGATGGGTTGCTAAATGCTCCCTGTTGTGCCCCCAGCGTTTGAAAGGCCAGGCTTGTACGAGGGGTGTGCCCCCTGTGCCAAATATTTGAAGTCAAACTTTGGCCTAACCTCGCCAACCCTGCCCGCAAAGCCCTGGGCCCCCCAACCTCCAACAGGGTTCCCGGTATAAATCATCAAGGGCGGAAGGTGAATTTCCCTAGGTTGTAGTCCAGCAACCTTGTCGTGTTGTTGAAAGGCCGGGTTGGCTTTTAACGCAACCAATCAAAGGGCACTTTCCGTTTTCATGCCCGTTATCAAGTGCTCAAAGGGTTCCTTACAAGTGCTGCAAAGAGTCCTTGCTGGGAATGTCAACTCGGCTCACTGAGTATGTCTCAAAATATGGCTTTACCTTCATGTTGTTTGTTGCTTTTGCCTTTCCTTTTGCAACCTATCCAAAAGGGGTTCGGTGGAACCTTCCGTGGGCGAATTCGGATGTGAAATTGGGGGGCCCGAGGACTCCTCAGACAAACCCCTGGCGAGGTGCGGGAAACCGGGCACACCCTGGCGGAGGCAGAGTTTCAGCTGAGCCGGGCACAGAAGGCCCTGAAGCGCAGCTGGGCTATTCAGCGCATGTGCGTGGGCTGGGGGTGGGGGTGGGGGTGGGGGTGGGGGTGGGGGTGGGGGTGGGGGTGGGGGTGGGGTGGGGTGGGGTGGGGTGGGGTGGGTGTGGGTGGGTGGGTGGGTGGGTGTAGGTGTGATGCAAGCGTTTGCCTTTTGAAGCCCGTTCCGAAAAAGCAGAAATATTCAGGGGTGCAAAGACACGCATGGGTGGAAAAGCCCGTCTATGGGTGCAAAAGCCCACAAAGGGTGCACATCCCGCAAAATCTGGACCTACATGTTCAGGGCCGACCTGTTAGCAACAAATGCAACAAACCACCAATGTTCTCCTGGCCCAGTGAAAGGGCGTGCGCAATGCTTGCCATGGGCTGGGGGCTCGTGCTGGCCTTGGTCGTGCCCAAGGTGTGGCAGGAGCTTTTGAGCTGTCGCATGCCTCATAGGCGAACATCCTAGGCCGACGGAACTCGAATGGCTTTGAGCCAATCAAGAAGTTATTGAGAGACAATAAAACTAGACCAGGCCACGTCATGCAACTAGACACGTTTGGCGGGGCCTCATTTGCGCGGTGTTGGTTTGTTTGAGGCAGCAAACTGCTGATAAATACATTGGGTGGGTTGGGTTGGCTTCTTGGCAACTTTTGCACCCCTCTAAAAATGTGTGCGTGCCTGTTCTTCCATCGCGAAACCGAACAGCCGATGAGATTGCCAACCTGGCATTGGATTGGCTTCACTCCCCTTGTGTCTTAGGCTGTCAAATGCACCAGGAGCCGCAAAGAAAGCCGGCCTCAAAGGATTTTTAACAGCGCCTCCCTTGATGTTTGCTGAATAGATCCAGCGAGTTTCCTCGGAAATGGTAGGCTGTCACTTTTCCACTTTTGTTGCTGGCCCCTCAAATTGTTGAAATTCTTGGTGGAGGCCCTCGAATTCTGGGGACCGTTGGTGAAGCTTTCAACTTCGCTGGCTTGGGGGCAGCAGTCACTAACTGCCGCAAGCAAAGCTTGCCTGGGCGCCAAATCATCCATTTGTGACATCCCCCCAAACTCAAACTATGGAACATTGGCCAAGATTAGTCCAGTGTTATTCACGCCCTACTTCCACAAACCAGAGGATGGACATGGGGTCATGCAGTCGCATCGGAGTTGGATTCAGACGCTCAGCCCAAAGCCGACCTTTTGACCTTTTGGTTTTCTATGGTTTTCCCTTTTTGGTCCATTTCAGTGGCCCAAAATGGCGATCACCTTGAATTTCTGGGTCCCTAACGGCTGAGTTAATCACGCCACCCAGCTCCCACCCATTTTTGTTTGTCGCTCGAGGCGATGAGCAGCCGGAGCTGGACCAGAGCCAATTCTTGAGCATGCGCGTGAGCAGCCCTGCGCTGTCGAAGGTCAGGTCTCGCATCAAGCGCCTCGCCCGGTGAAAGTCTGGCTCGAGTTTCTGCACTTCTCGAATTGGAACCTGGCGGACAAGCAATGTTAGTTGCACTTTTTTGGCCACGTCATGGAAATGAGAAGTAGATGGCGCATTTGTCCCCCACGTTTTAGTCTAGTCATTCCATGTTATCCCTTTTGCCCACAGAGTGGAGCCGTTGCTTTTGGTCCAGTCGACCGGATTCAACCTCGAACCCCAAGGTTCACCTTAGGAATACAGGTTCACCTTATTTCAGGGGAGTTATTGTTGCAGACGTGATAGCTTTCTCTTGGGACCTGACCAGAAAATTTCATTCTGTGGTCCGGAAAGAGGATCGCCATGCGTTGGCCTGGTTGCAAATTTGTGCGGAAATACTTGTCTTATGGGCTTGATCATGCTTAAACTAAGGCACTCAGACACCCAAAGAACCTGAATGCAGATGTTCAAAAGTCTTACCCCAACCTGAAAACCCAAATAACAGCACTCCCATTGCCTTGCTGAACCTAGCGATGTTTGAGTTTTGACGCCGTGTTTTTGATTTGGTCAAGGAGCTGCGCCTATAGCTGCGGCGGGAAGAACCTTGGGGCACTCTTTGCACGTTTCGACAAGGCCCGGTGCGAGGTTTGGCCCAATGCAGATTGAAGGGTCGTTTCCTCCGCTTCTTGTCGTTTCTTCTTTGTTTACTGTCTGGTAATGTCCGGAGTGTTTCGGCATGTGATTGAGATATGCCTTGACGTGCGTTGGTCATATGCTTGTATAAGTTGGTTCGGGCTGCTTCAGGCTATACAGTGCATGTGCGCCTTGACTGCTGTCCCCACAAGGTTTTCAAGGGGCCAGCATGAGCTGACAGAACAGAAGCTGTCATTCTGGAATTGGATAGGCTTTGGGTTCAAACCACAGCTCTTGTTCGCAATTGAACAGGGGGCGCCATCAAATTTACATGTTGCCGCTCATGAAATGGAAGCTGTTCAAGCCTGGAGGACGGCAGTGGATATCTGGACGAAGAGGAGGTGCGAAAAGCACTCCGGCGCTCATTACGCGTGCCGCCTTCCGCTGTGTCCGATGCAGAGGTGGCCAATCTGTGCGTTCTACTGGATGCTGACCGCAGCAATGGAATCTCAATTGAAGAATTGGTGGCTTTCATTTATGCGGACACCGATGTGGACAAGCTCAATGAACAGGCAGGGTTTTGCATTGGAGATGGAATATTTGAACATACTGAAGCTGTATTCAGCAGAGCCCCTCGTGAAGAAAAAAGGTGTCACGTGTCTGCTTTACTTGGTCAACGTTCCGAAGCATCTTGCGTCTTTGCCCTTTACTAAGAGGGTGATGTCAGACAATTGTGAAACCGAGCTGATTTTTGACTCAGTTCCCCTTTTGGTATGCCCTAAAGTAGGGCACACCACGCATTGCCGGTTTCCTTTTGTCCTCGCTTTACCGCTCCGAAAGGGCCCCCCAACACCCGAGCGCTCCTCACCGGTGAGCCGAGCGATTGGAGGCGGAGGCTGCGCAGGAGGTGGTGTCGGAGCTGTCGGGCGTGATGGCGGAGCTGCAGGCGGACCTGAAGCGCAAGCTCTGCGCTGCGAAGATCGACGAGGCCTGCGTGAAGGTGACGGCCATCAAGGGCCTTGCGCCTCAGCAAGGTTTCGTTTCGCGAAGTTGCCGACAGTCTCAAACTGGTGGACCCATCTTTGGGAGCTAAAGGGAGCAAGACAAACAAATCAACCATTTTAGGGGACCGTTTGATTGGTGTTGCAGAGCTTGCAATGATGGTCCGAGCCCGGCCCTAGGGACCCGCGTAGGGATGGCTTTGGCAAGGCCATAGCGTCACAAGCGCCAAACGGAACTGATCATCACCAACTGCTAGGTGGAGTTGGCGAACATGCTTCAGTTTCATGTTTTGTTTTGTGAGGAAGGCTAGACGCATGGAGTTGCCGCCCAACCCCAGATAGGGTAGATAAGCCGGAGGTGTCCTTTTGGAATGGCGCTGCGTGCAACCGAGAAACGTGATATATAAACAGTTGTTCAGTGAGTTCAGTGTCACTGAGCAGTGGCTCCGAAACAGACACGCGCGAAAACGCCCTCGTACCTTGTGTGTTCTACATTTGGTTTTGGGTATCCTCTGTGGGGTTGACAGGAAAACCAAAGGGAAGCCCATCTCAGGTCCAAATCCCCACCTTTTTTTTTGGCACGCAAATTTATGGCTACCTGTTGTTGTGGCGAGCTCACCACGGGCAAAACAAGCTCACTATGAAGGTTCTTTACTTCGGGGTCCAATTGCTTTTTCAAGTGCAGAGCTTGCACAATTGAATGCGTTTGTGTGCAAAGAGACGAAGATGCGCAGTACCTCGTTTCAAGCATAGTGAGTACCAAACACATTCACAGGGTTGGTTCGCAGGAAAACCCAAGCGAAGCCCATTTGTGGGGTCCAAATCAGGTTTTCGCAAATATCCATTGGCTCAGAAGCTGGACATGGCTCCAGACCGCGAGAAGCGGGCCGCCAGCGCGCGGAATGGCGCGCGGCCCAAGGCACTGCCTGCTGAGCTGCGAGTGCGCTTGCGCCAGCGGATTCGGGCTGCGGCCTGCGTAGGCGCGAGCGGATTCTTTGGAGGTCCAGGGCTGCCTTTTGACTCCCTTGGAAAGGATTTGGAGCGAACAGAATCGCAAGCCCCGTACCACCAAACTGGCTGATTTCGACTTGCCTTCAACAACGCCTGGGCTCGAGCAAATGAGTATGTATCGAGATCGGAGGCCCTCAACAAGGATTGATCAGGGGTTGTGTTATTATTATTATTATTATTATTACTATTATTATTATTATTATTATTATTATTATTATTATGATTGTTATTATTATTTTTATTTATTTCTGTTCAAGCCACCCTGAAGGTCCGGACCCTCAACAAAATTTTTTGTTTTTCCTTTTGGTGTCCCTTCAAAGCGCCCTTAAGAAGGGGGCCCTAAAAATCGCAAAGCTAAAACGGGTCCCTGTGAAATCCGTTTAGGCGGAGGGAAGCAGATCGACGTGCTGCTGGGGCGCTTTGAGCGTGGGGAGGTGCCGGGGCTTCTGAGCTTCGAGGAGCTTCGGAAAGCCTTCCGCAAGGCGCAGTCGAGGGCCAAAACGTGACCGAGGGTTGAGGCCAAGAGCTCTTGCGCCTTGCTTCCTGGAACCCGTTCTTTGGAATGCGTGGGTCACCCAAACTACTGCGAGAATTGAGTCAACTCGTTGGCCAGCTGAAGTGAAAGCTGCCAAGACCCACTGAAGGTTGACGATCTCGGGGAAGAATTTAGCTAGTGGTTGGCAGGGAGTTAAAGAGCAAAAAGGGAGCTAAGGAGCTACCCGGAGTTCTGTAAGGACATAGTAATTAATTGAAAAATTGGTAGTATTTCATCCGATGAGCACACAATGCAGAGAAACAGACTTTGGCCATGTTGAACATGAGCAACGCCTGATTTTTTGACCCTCGCCTGTTTCGCGCACTTTCGGGGGCTCGGCAGGGAGTGGCTCTCAGCACCAAGCAGAACATTGCTCCAGTCATGATTTATTATCTTAGCTTGGTTCAAACAATTATAGAACAGTTTATCTTAAAAAAAAATATATGTATGCGCAATACTGGCCACCAAAGATGAACCACTGAACAACTCCCCCGGCCAGATCGAGCAGTTTATCACCCCCTTTTTATACAACGCTTTTGGGCAATTTTGGTGGATGGTTGTACAGCTTGGCTTTTGAGGGTTGTAGCGAGGCCTACATAAACCTTGTTTGCAGCATTAGCCGTCAACGGGTTGGGTCGCAGCTCAAATAGGCTTTGGGCATTGCTCAAGTCTTGCCAGATCCTTCGCATCTCGCCCAGCCTGGTGGCAGATCAGGAGCCGCAACTGTGGAAAAACGAGGTATCCCCCCCCAGCTACCAGCTACCCTCACATGCGCAGCTTATGTGATGGCATATGCTTACCGACAATAGTTCTACCTGCATACAGTTGGACAGTTGCAAGCATTTGCAGGAACGGGGAACACTCCAACCTGGCACCCTCTCAATCGACGCAGGAGATCAACTCCTTGTGCCTTTGGCTGGACAATGACAATGACGGCGCAGTGAGCCTTCAGGCGGGGTGAAGGGCAGTGTTGGGATTGGATTTGAGAGCGCAATCTTAGGGACTGCGGGCTGGCAAATGTGTGTATGTGTGTGTGTGTGGGTGTGTGGGTGGTGTGTGCGGGTGTGGGCGCGCAGCCTGGAATGGATGTGCCGGCATCATGCTTAGGTTCAACATGCTGCAAACAGCAGGCGGCCTTGGCTCCTTTGCAGCTAGGTGCACCAGTTGCCGCGAAGCTTCCATGTCAAATGTTGAGAAGGCATTTCCGAAGCCTTCAACTTGATTAAGCTAATATCAAAAACCCAACTTAGATTGTGGATCCCCCCAGGTACACAATGGTGGTTATGTCAACCCTATTGTTGCAATGGTGTCCGGATGGGAATTTCAGGTGTTCCTGGGATGCCTCCAGTTTCCATCTTCAGCACCGCATGCTTTCTGCATAGACCCGGCATCGAACTGAGAACTAGGACATCAAGGAAACCTGAGTTGCACACATCATGATCGCAGCGCAGCATGCTCATGTCAACTCTGAAGTGACCTTGGGAGGATTGCTCCAATTTATGATCCCTCAATCAACTGGAAAGCAAATGCACGCCCAATAGCCATCCACACTCCAAACTCTTCAAAGCGAGCGTCAGTTTGGAGCTGGGTTTCCCAGAATTTCCCTTGGACTCCTTATGTCTAGACTCCTTGTTCTTTTCATTTAGCATCCAAACTGGGCGGAGGGGGGGGCATCTTGGGACACACCTTGTTGCCCTTCCAGCGGGCAGGAAGTTCTTGACTTTGTGGACCAGGAGGAGCCACCGCCGGAGGCTGGGAGCTACATCTTGGGGAGACAGACCTCTGTTGGTCCATTTTTGCTCGTTCGAAACCAAATGTTTAAACATTGGACATTGCCAGGATTGGTTTGCTTGCGGGCGTTTTCTGGGGACCAGACAACAGTTAAGCTTCAAAAGGACTGGCTTTGGAAGGGGCAGGCTCTCAGTCACTGCCCCCCCCCATCTTCGCCACCAAGCTTTCGACCCGGGCGTCGATGTTTCAATTTGTCAGCAGATTTGCTCCACGGATCACAAAAAAAATGAATGATGTGACCCGATGCGCGCCCCTTCTGAATGGAGACCATCAGGCATGTGCAGCAAAAATCGGGCTGACACCACTTGATGTATTTGGATCCCGAGTCTATTGGCCGCCCTCATGTGCAGAACAGGCCTGTGCAACATGAGTTAGCCACCCGTCAACTCCCCATGTTGTTTTCACTAAATTTGCGAGGCGCCATTGCCTCAGACGCCGTCGCCTGCCTCAGCCCCGGCCAAAGCAAAGCCGCGGCGGGCCGCGAAGCCTCTGGCGCCTGAGGCAGCGCAGGCCTTGAGGTCCAAGCTGAAGAGCGCTGCATACACAGGTGGCTCGATGCCAAAGCTCGTCTAGAAGCAGCTGCGTAAATGTGGCTAGTCGTGCGCTTCAAGCGCTTCAGAAGCTTGGGCGGTCAGGGCTTCGGTTCGGTTTCGGCACCCGTAAGCATCTCAGGCTGCGCGGGCCGGCAGTTGGATGTGGTTTTCTATCGCCTCGACAAGGACGGCTCGGGATTTCTGGAAGATGATGAGGTGCGGCAGGCGATCCGAAGGTGCCTGCGCATTCCCCACAAGGCGCCGGGCCTGTTGACGCCGGGTCTTGAGCCTCGAGCTGGCCTCTGGCGAGTTTCGTTGAGATGAATGTGCCAGTTTGATAAACCCCATGTTGTTAATCAGAGAGGTCTCCCTGGAAGAAAGGGACATACATGGGGTTTATTAATCAGAGGTCGACATTGTCCTTTCACCAACTTGTATGGAACCCGAATCTTCCAGTGATTGCCATGGCGGATGGAGCCACCGCCTTTGAACATGCCGATCCCATTCTCCTCCTGCTTCTCCTCCTTCTCATCCTCCTCCTCCTCCTCCTCCTCCTCCTTTTCCTCCTCCTCCTCCTCCTCCTCCTCCTCCTCCTCCTCGCTTCGGGCGTGGGACAAGTTTCATAGTTTCAGCGCCTGCTACCCAAATGACTGTTCTGGTCTGACCAGCCCTTGTGCTGGTTCCCGGCACTAGCTGCCTGTTGGGGAGATATATCAAAGAGTCCATTTGTGGTTCTAGACGTGTGCCTTTGGCGTCTTTAGGCTGGGCACTGCAGCAGAATCGCTGCAGGGCGAAGCCGAGAAACTTTGCAGCCCACCTTGTTCGCACAATTGTTTTGGGGCCTGACAGCGCTGGCAGTTCGTGCTGCGTCCAGGTTGTCTCCGATCAGGAGATTGCCTCTGTGTGTGCGCTGTTGGATGCTGACAGCAATGGCTCTGTGAACATCCAAGAGCTGGTGGACTTCGTTGGATGCTCGGCAAATCACGCATGGCGCGCCGTACAATAGCTCATGGTTGTGGTATGTTGTGGTTCTGGAACGTTCTAAATGTGACATTTTCTGTGGCTATGCAAATAGCCCGCTTGCTAGCTGGGCGGACCGTCCGAAAAGAGAACCGCATCGGCGAATCATGGATTTGGTAATCTCTGCCCGCTCAAAACAAATGTGGGGGCAAACGGCAATTTAATACTAGGGCAATTAGGGGTCAGATGGGCTCCCCCAGAAGCAAATGTACTCATCCCTTGAAACGCGCCTAAATTGTAAATTTGTAAAATGGGTTGTTGTAGAACTTTGAAAGGTTCAAACATGTTACTTAGTCATTTGGTTGTAGTACAGACTTTAAAGGGAAAGAGAGGTCGTGGTTTAGTTAAATTCTGGCATGGGGTTGGTGCAAGGAGCTTTGGTCCTGGATTGCCTCTAATGCTGGACTTGGGCTGGGCGAGAAGTCCGCCAGCTGAGTATTGGTTTTGAATTGGCCTATTCCAGAAGTGCATGCATCCCATCCAACCCGTGCCCCAGCGTCCCATCCGAAATTCACAGCTCAGCGGTTCCATGAGAGGCCGGCGCACCGAGGCCTGGATTCCCGCAAGCCTCGGAAGCTTGGCCCCATGAAGGGCTACCAGTGAACCCACAGGCAGCACTCGGGTCGCTTGGCGGCTTTTTTGGGGTTCCAAGTGGAAGGCGCGTAAAACAAAAGAGCTGTTTTCTTCGCCAAGAGAGCTTGGCTGGCCACTTCGAACCCTCTTGGCACTTTCGGTGTAATGTTGGATGTGCGTTGTTCAAAGTCTGAGCCAAGCGATAGGACAAGAGCGCTAGGTTGGACTGTTTTGTTTCGGGCACCACCTGCTTAGATTTCTAGAACTGGTTCAGATTCTGAAAGGGCGCCAAGTCTTTCATTGTCAACAGGGTAGGCGACACGTGACACTAACACCTCATCTCAGCCCAAGGTTGGCAACTGTCACAGTTCTTTAGTGTGGCGCCATGATCCGAGTTCGTAAGGTTTCTTTGAAGGGAAACCAACAGGAACCCATTTCACAAGGCACCGCGCCATGTGTGTGTGACACCCCAAAAGCAAGCAGCTGCCCCGAAAGCGCCACAGGGCTTTCGATCGGTCAGTGCCCAAGGCACTGGACCCATCGGAAGTCATGTTCGTCGGGACAGGCGTTAGAAAGTAGTTCTTGCCAGATGTGTTCAATTTAAACAAAGATGGGCCAGGTTGCGCAAGCCAGCTACTACAGTATGCGTGCTTGAGCTGGCTCTTGTCCAATCTGCACTGCAGATGTGTCGAGGCACTTTTTGCCAGTGTCCCAAAAGATGGTCGGAGTCTCACCCAGGTGTTTCATGCGCTTGCAGCTGTGATCACATGCCGGCCGGGCGGGAGCTTTGCTTCACAACACTTAGAATGCGGGGAGCCGTTTCAGGAAGCATCGGGCCTTCGGGCGGAAAGGCAGCGCATTTGGAACGCCAGCTCTCAGACACGACGACTGGTGCCCACAATCCCAGGTTTCCCGGTATGCCTTGAAACAAGCAGCCAATTCATCAGGCATGATCACATGCATATGTTGGCGCAGGAGTTCCAGTTGCAACCTGGACGGGTCCGATATACCAAGCAGAGCTCATCTGCGCCCGTTCGACACTGGGCCGAGATCACAGCAGCCCCCAGTGGTCAAAACGGCCCCGGGAATAGCATGAAGCCAAGGTTGGTTGGGAGAAAAAGGCTGGCAGTTTGGGTTTGGGGCGGATGCCCAATTCAATTCAGTTTGCCTGCATACCTCCACACCAACGTGCTACAAAGCCTCCTCCTCATCACACCTGCGTCCATCGGCACCCACGGGACCACCGGCGGCAACCACCAGCCTGGCCTCAGCAGCGGCACCTATGCCCGCGCCAGTCCCCACGTCAGATCCTACTCCACCGGCGCCGCTTCCTTGAATTCCATGCCGCCCCCGACAGCACCCCCGGCCCGGACCCGGACATCCAGAACTACCAGGGACTCCGACCTCAGTGTTTGTGTTTGTTGGCGGGGGCTTTGCATGAGATTGGACTGACAGGTGGACAGCTGAGACGGACACAGACGCAGACACAGGCACAGAAACAGACAGACAGATAGATGGAAATATTACACATGTACACAGTTGGTACACACACATGCATGCATACATGATACAGACAGACGGACAGACGTACACACATGCAGACATACTCATGTACGGGCGGACGGACGAACGGACGGACGGAGCCAGCCAGCCAGCCAGCCAGCCAGCCAGCCAGCCAGCCAGTCAGTCAGTCAGTCAGTCAGTCACTCGTTCATTCACACACTCACCCAGTCAGTCAGTCAGTCAGTCAGTCAGTCAGTCAGTCAGACAGACAGACAGACAGACATACAGACACATAGGCATGCCAACGTACAGATATGTATATATATATACAGGCATACAGACGTAAATGCATGCATACATACATGCCCACATACATATTCAATCGCGCAGACATGCGGGCAGAGATGCAGCCAGGCAGGCAGACAGACGGAAAGACGGACAGAGAAACACAGACAAACAGACCGACAGGCAAGGAGAGAATGCGTTCATGCGTGTTGCACACGTGCACCACTGGTTGGAGACATTTGTGCGAGCGCGCATGCTCCTACACATGCCCCGCACATGCTTTTGCTGACCAGTGTCTACAATGTTGTTGATACCTTCTTCAGCAGCAATTAGGACACGCTGAGCCTGTGTGGAAGTGCTTTGGCTTGAGGCCAAGGGGCATCAAGCTTCAGCAGTTTGCCTAGTGTCTGGCCGCCAGGATGTTAGCATGTTGTTTTCCACAGGAGACCTGAGCATGCGCAGACTTGCGGCAGCGTCACGCCTTTTTGGGCAACTGTCACTGCAGCTGATTCCGCTCAAGAGTGCGCTGCCTGGACTAGGTGCAGGCAGGCCAGTAGTACAACTGGATGGATTGTGTTGTTGAAATTTGGTTGGCTGACTGAGCTCAACCTAAGAAGGACGATTTCATGGCTCGATATCACATGAGAGCATTGAGGATGAACATAGCATCCCGAGCTTGCTGGATAATTTCGGCATTCCACAGTTTTCCTTTCCCACGCAGAAAGCCCCCCTCGGCCAATAGGCCAGCTCGCTGCTGCGTCATGCGTTGTGTTTGGATCCTTCTGGCGGTGGCACAGTCAGTTCTGGGTCATGAGAGCTGTTGCTCAAAGGCAGCATCGCTGGGCGAACAGGAGATGGTACCAGACATGACTGCGCAGAAACCAGATGGCTGGGATGACGAGGAGGATGGCATTTGGGAAAGGCCGCTGATCCCAAAACCGGCAGATGGCATCCTCACGACCTTCTTAGCGGACTTTCGGGGTTCACTGGAAGACGCAAGCCCCTGGCTGCTCTTGGGCTTTCTGTGCACTGGGCTTCTGCAGGCGGGGTTCGGAGGTTCCCTAGGTGTCATGCATCGAGTCGGATTCCCACAGACCCCTCCGCCCTTCAGCGCTTCAGGCGCTGGCTACAGCGGACGCTCGGCTGCTCCAAGGACCTTGGCCTTGCGCCAAGGGCGCGGCCATCGGTCTGCTCAGCCCCTTCTGCAGTTGCGGGGCTTTGCCGGTGGCCACAGGCCTCATCAGCGCAGGCGCAAGCACCAAGGCGACGCCGTTCGGGCGGAACATGACATGTGCTTGTGTTGTTCTTGGTGGATCCATTGGGATTTTGCCACGTATTTCCCAACAAGATTTGCATGGACGAGCGACATGCCTTGTCGTTGTGCAAAGGCACGCCCTATAAGTGCGAGAGCTACGCAAGCCACAGGGGAGTTGCCGACAATGGGGAGGCCGGGGGAGGCCTATGTCTTTGATCAGGGGCACAGTTCTCGAAAACAATCAATGCCGCCCACGTACCACGACCAACCCATAGCCATGTGATTGCAAAAACCTTGCCAGCAAGCCGTTGGCGCCAACTGGAGAGAGAGAGAGAGAGACTATGGGAACACTACAAAACTACAGCAAGACTGGAAGGCTGGAAGGCCACATCTACGTGAATACCACGGGAAGACGACAGAAAGTTGGGGTAGGCACGCGACAGCTGAAGTCGCTGCAAACCGACAAGGTGCCCAAAACCATCAGAAGGTTACAGCTCTTTTCGCTTGCCTTGTTGGTGCCGCCTTGGCATTGTGCCGCCTTGGCAGTGTGCCGCCTTGTCCTTCAAAAACAAACCAAGAATGGCCCCGATTTTTGAGCACCATCCCACTCCTATGAATGAGGGAATGACCCCGAACTGCATCCCAAGGATTTCAACTGTAGAAGTTCCTGTTGGTTTCTCAGGCCTTTCCTGCCCCCCAACCAACCCAGGTGGAGCGCAATATAGTAAATATGAAAACAAACGCTATGATCCTAACATAGATATACAAGAATAAACATTTCCAAATACATATAATTTGTGCAATTGCATACACGAAAAATATATCTATGTATAAACGGGTGACCAGCTTTTCTAGGGCTAACTACATAATGGTTTCCCATCGGCTACAGGCGGTGGTGGCGTTTCTGGTGGCGGCGCAGAGCGCGGGCCTGGACTCGTTGCTCTTCACCGCGGGGGTTTTGGGCCCCGCCTTGGCGCTGTGGCGCTTGCTGGCGGCGGGGCTGCTGGCGGCCGGCGCCGGCCTGGCGGTGCCGGAGACGAGACTAGAAGGAGAGATGGGCACAGATGTTGGTGTGCGATTTCTTGATTTAACTCACTTCCTGAGTTCATGAACTTTAAGCTTTTTGGGAAGACCATTTTAGTGGTAAATGTAAAGTTTGGAGTTGTTTGGGCCATCCACTCAGCAAGTGAGTTAAGTTAAGCCCTTGTTTGATCTTTTTTGGGATCAAAAGCAAACCAAAGGAACTGTGGATGGACAAAATCCGGTTGGTGGTTTATCAACCGGTGTTCATAGAGTTCATCCATCCCAACTGGTGCATAATTTTGTCCACCCACAGTACGTTACGTGTCTTTCTTCGGGTTAAACCTCTTGGGATTTTCAGGCAACCAAAAGGAAGCCGACCTTGTTTGGGTCGACCAACCCATGTGTGTCCAAATTGGCGGGGGGTTCCAATGAACTAGCACAATATGAATTGCAGATGAAACTGCCTGACACTAATGTTGATGGATAAAAGTAAGAATCAAGTTGGCAGGTGATGCTTCCCAGTTCTAGCGCTTCATACTCCCCAACATGCCCCAACTGCTCCAGGAACTTGGGCACAAGACATGGGTATGTGGCAAAACCCGTAGTGGGATCCCCGAAGATTGTAGGTTTGCTTTTGGTCTCCCCTTTCAACCAAGGTGAGCAGGGGACCCCCTACCAAAAACACACACACACACAAAACACACACACACAGACACTCACAACGCACAGAAGGTTTGGGCTTGGAGGGTCAAGGTTTGCAAGGGATTGATCAGGTGGATTTATTTGATCCGCATGGGCTGACTTGGGTAAAGCTTCTAGGTAATGTTAGAGAGGTCTGGTTCACCCGCAATGAGTCAATCTAATATATGGTTGCAACATCGTTGCTGGCTGTATGGCAAACTCTCAGCCAATTTAAGTTTGTGGGGATGTGAATGTTGGTGGGTGGGGGTGGGGAGGGGGGTCGGGGTGTGGGGGTGTGGGGGTGTTGGGTGGGGGTGTGAGGGTCGCAGACATCAGTCGAACCAGTTACTGGGGTGCACTAGGGGCGTGCATGACGTCAAGGCAAAGATGATGTAGCAGATAGTTGGACCTGTGCCAGCTCAGATTTTCTGAGCAATATTGAGGAGCCTGTTTGCACCCTCGTGCATTGCCGGGGATGGGTAAGACGTAGAGGTCCACTGGCACTGCTTCTTTGAATTTTGCGGATTTAGTGGGCTACTGCAGACCGTTTGAGCCCTTGAGGAAAGAAGAAGGAGGTGATCCAAGAGTCAATACTGAAACGAATGGCCTTTGGTCTGCGGGATGCCGTGACGGAGGGCTTTGACGAGCTCTTGCTGCCCTTGCTTTGTGGATTTGCTTTCGCCTCTCTGCTGACGGCTGCCTTGCCTGGCGGACTGGGTGCCGCAGTTCTGGGCGGAGCTCGTGGCAGGGCAGTGATGCTGGCCTTGGCTTTGCCCATGCAACTCTGTGAGCATGCCTCGGTACCAGTTGCAGTTGCAACTTGGCTTTGGTGGTTTGCGTGGCTTACACTGTTGGCAGTTCAATGATCCACATGCACGAATCTCTTGGCAATAAGAACTCAACAAAAAGGACACGTGTTGGCCACACACCCGCCACAAACCCGCACGTACTGTACACCCGACTCAGAAAAGGTGAAAGGCCTCCAAAGGTGACAAGTTGTATGCACGTAATTGGCCACGGTGCTCAAATTGTGACAACAAATCATGAGTTACAATCAACGCCTGGTAGCAAATTGGAATTCGCAGAATTTGCTCGAATCACCCAAACTCGCGTAAAGGAGTTGAAAGGGCGGGACACCCATTTGTGGTTGGGACAGTCTTTTGCGAACCTTCACTTAACCGGGGTTTAATTTCAACTCACATCAAGGGAACAGAAACACACACACACACCATCAATCAAAGCTGTTGTAAACTGCACAACCTGCAGATCAACACACGTGCACTCCATTCACTATCATTGGGGGATGTGGACCGATTGGGTGCCTCTTTTTCCAGCCCTAAGAGTCAATGATGCGAGAGGAACCCTTTGGCAACCGCGGCCTTTGCAACTCTTTTCTTTCGTCGCGCATAAAAGGGGAGATCCCTGTGCAGTAGAACAGGGCCCTTATGGTTTCCCACGAGGCCAACAACGGGGGGGGGTGGGGCGTTTCGCAAGCCGCGGCCGCAGCTCTGAGGCCCTGCAAAAGGCGGGCGCCAGTGGGGGCCTCGCCTTTGCGCTGCTCAGCTCGCTGCCTGCAGTGAGCGCCGCCAGTGCCGCAGTACTCGGGCGCATCGTGGGGATGCAGGGCGCCGTGCGGGTACTCACAGCAGCGCCATGGCTCAAGCCCTGAGCTATTGAAACTTGAGATGTTTAAGATCCTGCCGTTGAGAATCCGTGCGAAGTCTTGTGTATGAGTGAGTTCAAATTTTGAGTGGATTCCCACCTGAATTCGAGCTGGAGGTGAACTGATGTTGAATTTGATTCTGCCTCGTCTTAGGTGTGGCTTGCTAGCCTTGGCCTCAGCTACCTGGCTGACTTCCTGAACGTTGAGCTGGTTCAGGCGTGTGGTGGGCTTGGGTGGGACACTCAACATGCCCTTCCCCCTCCCCACTCGTTGCTCTGTGTGGTTGTCAGTTGTTGGAAACATGTTTGCCACCGGAGGTCTAAAATGAGTTCCCTGAAAGGGGGTCCTTCAAAATACGGTTGAAAGGGAATCATTTGGCCTTTTCTTAATTACATTCAAGCAGAAACCAGCCACATCCGCGCTTATGGCACGAGCAACAAAGGCCAACAGACCGCGTCATGTAAATTGTAAATATTACACTCCACCTTGACCCCTGCCGCGAAAAGGCCGCATGTAGCCGGCTCCTTTTGCGCGGACAAAGGCAGTGTGTGTCTCACCTTCAACCTGCACCTGAGGGATGAATGCACTTGGTGTGTCAGTCCAGTGTCCAGGCATGAGCTAGCTGCCAGTGTAGACAGCTGCCCCCAGACACAAGGTGATGCACAGCCTCGATCCTGTTTCCCGCCCGCCTATTTGCCCAGAGAAACGAGAACAGAGACCACAAGCCTGTGCCGAGGTGGGGCATTCTTCTGAAGCGTTGCCTGAGTGGTTCGTGCACCTCAGCAAGCCCGTGATGGGCGCCAGCCTCGGACAAAGTCTGTTTTGGGCGGCTGGCTTTGCTCAGGAAACCCTTATAGGTGCACGGCTAATTTTTCAGAAGGTTGGTGCTCAGTATTGTCCTTGACTAGTCTTTGCCTCCAAGCGGGTGTAAGTGGGTGTGTTGTGCTCGTGCGCGAAGGCAATCATTTGCTGCTTCCATGGTGAGCTCACTTCGGGGGAAAGACGAGCTCACCATGTATAATAGGTCCTTTCCTTGAGAGTCCCTTATTTCAGGTTGAGGAACTTAGCTCGTTGAGGAACTTAGCTCTGCAGAATGGTCTGGCCACCTGCGATTGGTCAGAGACTGAACCATATCTCAAGTCCGCACTCGGAAATGTATCCCCAGGCATGCACAAGCCATCCAACGCGCGGTCCGAAGTGAGACACGGGCAAACCCTCTCAAAAGGGCGAGCTATTATTATTGTTGTTATTATTATTGCTATTTTTGGGGGGAGGGTCAGCAAGAACCTACCTTTTCATAGCAGGGGCGTCGCCAGCGCCACAGGGTCACATTCTTGCTCAGGAAGCGCTTGGCTTAAAACTTCCTTGATAAAACTTGGCGAAGCCAGCGATGATGCGGGACGCTGGCGATGCTGGTGAAAGCTGGTGATGCTTGATGCTGAGATGGTGATGCAGATTTTGCTGGCGATGCGCAAAAGTAACTTGTTGTTGGATTGGCTTGGTGTCTTGTCTGCGTGTCTGTTTGGAAATGATTGTTCAGTCCCGTTTGAAGCGGTTTTCGGGTGGAAAAAAGTCACTAGGATTGTTAGAAGCAGTTGTGGTGTTGATGTTCTGCCTCGTTTGAAGTGGTTTTCGTGTGGAAAAATAATTACGCTTGTTCAAAGCTGTAACTCGCTGGTAGTGACTTTTCTGTCTCTTTTTGAGTGGTTCTTCGGTGCAAACAATTCTCTGGAACCTCCCCAACTTCCCTTGGGACTTCCCTATACAATGGCAGCCATCTTCGCCAGGTGCCATGACTTTGGCGTCCCTCTTTCGACGGGTGTGGGGCACTGAACGCTGCAAGGGCTGCAAGGCCGGCAGCCAATCTGGGTGTGTCACTGTTCTTGTTGGGCCTGACTGCCCTTTGGTTGGTTTTCCAGGGAAACCAAAAGGACCCCAGGGAAGCAAGGGTTTTCCCCCCTTGAGGTTTTCAAGGGACCACAAAAAATGGAAACTAACCACCTGGAGGAGGGTCCTAATTTGAAAAGCACCAATAGGAGATGCTCATGGCACCCAAAAAAAACCTGGGGTGCTCCATGTCAGCTTGCAGGGGAGTAAGGGTTGTTTCTGCTCACCAATGGCGGCACAACACGTGTGATTGTTTGCAGGAAGCAATGCCGTAGTTATGTCATGTCCGGAAATCCTGATTGGGCGATTGCCAGGGTGGTGTCATGCTAAGAAGAAGGGCGGGCTGAATCCCGAGCGTTGGCGATACTCGCATAACTACCAATGGCGGCACAACCAGTGTGATTGCTTGTAGGAAGCAATGCCGCAGTTGCTTCATGTCCAGAAATCCTGATTGGGTGTTTGCCAGGGTTGTGAATTCCTCCGCGCCGTTAGTGGCGGCGTGACCTTGTTTCTCCCTTGGTTTTGCCAGGATTTGCAGGCAAGTTTGGCCGAAATTCCTAGCCCTCAAATCTGAAATTATGATTCCATTTGGTAGTCAGGATGACGGCCTGGTATTGAAGCAGACCTGGGGTGGCTTGTAACAGACCCCAATGCAAATTTACAATGGCTTGTTCTCACAATTATGTACTCGTTTTGGACGCCAAACCGGGCCCCTAGTTTTGACCCCCCTCCCCCCCCCAAAACAAAAAAGGCGGAAAGAAAGAAAGAAAGAAAGAAACAAAGAAAGAAGGAAAGAAGGAAAGAAGGAAAGAAGGAAAGAAGGAAAGAAGGAAAGAAGGACAGAACAGAAAGACAGCAGAAAAGAATGAAGAATCAAAGATAGACAGAAAGGAAGTACTGAACATGAAAATTCCCTTGAACGTGCTTTGTTGCATTTCACTGCTAAAGAGGTTACCTGCTCACACTGCTGCAGATGCTTTGCAGCCGGCCCCTTCCTTCACCGAGCTGAGGATGAGTGAAGCTGCCAGCTGCCCCGTGCCACGCCAGCGCTTGGAAGACATCGCTGGTATCAATCCTCATCGCTGGCCGAAGTGGCCCATCCAGCTGATCACGATGTGAAAACCATGCGCAGTCGCCTTTGTTGCGCAGTGGGGTTTCAAGACGACTCTAGCAAAGTGATAGAAAATACCCTTGCGATGCGCATAATTTAGTCGCTTGCTATTGTTTGGGGGCCGTAACTGTCACACATGACAATTGTTGTTGTTCTTTTTTCCCGTGCCACACGTTCTGTACGGAATTGTCCCGATGTCCTGAAGGTCGCCTCAAGCAGGAGTTTTGCTTGAGTCGCCTTCTCGGAAACAAGCCCACATAGCTGTTTATCGTTCGTGTCGCCCTGTTTGGCCTCTGGTTGCTTTTGCTTTGGTCCTCGCCCAAATGGGTTTCCCCTGCCTTTCCAGCCCAAACATTGTTCAACACCGCAATTTCATGTGTGAAGATTCTTAGCAGCCAAGTGCAACCACAATTTCTGAATGTCTCAAGTTTGTATTGGACTTGCGCCAGCGAAACACTTGTTGTAGCATTGGCTCAGTGTTGATGGCGTGTCGATTCACACGCGTTCCTCGTTTGTAGGCATTTGGGCTTGTCTCAAAATAGGGGACCCCCAGAACTGATAGTGTTTCATTTGTTACCCTCTCCAGCAAAGGGTACCACTAAAAAAGACACACGCTTTTTGCAGGCTACGATATGCCACAATGCTCACTCAAAGCTTGCCACTTCATATGTTATGGATTGCCGATTGGCCGGGCGAGCCAATCGGGTGGCTCAACATGGGTCTCTGTTCCTTTTGCGGGCCCCCCAACCAGATGCTTTTTTTTGGGGGGGGGGACAAATGTAAGGTGGAGGCCAAAAAGCCGGTTTCGGGTTTAACAAACAGGGTCCAGCTTCTTAATTCAGATTCCCCTGAGCGTTGCTGGCCTGAGGGAGGCCTTCCGACATCACACATAAAGCCACAGCTGGTCCCTGGCCTAAAGGCTAAGGTGAATCAAACAAGGGGCTTCCTCAGCCCCAGCCCATCCCCAGCCCAAATCGGGCGATGCGGATCCATCGATGTCTTGAAGCGGAGGCCCTTCCGAGGGGGCCGGGCTCTTGGTGTGACCGGCATCGTGCCACGCATCCGATTTGATGGCCGCTGAGTCGACTCACCAGGAGAGTTACAAGATCCGTCCCTCCATGACTCCACTCGCAGGAAAGGGTGACGCACATGTCTGGCGTCACGTTACTTACTGCCTTGAGCATCTCAAGCTAAGAGGTCGGTGTTCCGCCGGTTTTCTGCAACCATTTTGTCAGCTACCCCGGGTAGCTACCCCTGTTTTGCTTGGACCATCTTGGGGATAGTTGGCCATCCGCTGTGAGCTCTCTCAGGTGGCCAAAAGTGTCCCTTGCCCCCAGGCCTCACAAGATGACTGCCCTAAACTTATGATTGCTTCTTGTGGAAAACATATATTTTACTACATATATATATATATTATTTATATATGTGTATATAAAGCTATATCTTTACAAACACACACACATATATATATATATATTATGTATATATGTATATGGTCGCTGTATATTTCATACCCTTGGGGGCCCACTTGGGGGGCAGTGATTCGGGTGCTAGACGCCTGCTTCGACGCTTGCGAGCCGAGTTCGTTGCGGCTTCGCCCAGCTTGCTGCCGCCGCCGCGCCTTGGCTGTTTGGGGCCTTGACGGTGCAATTTCAAGCAAGGATCAACAGCCCACAGCAAGAAAGACTTACACACACACACAGAGAAACGACACTGAACACATAGAACAACTGGACCTTTGTTTGCTTGCTTGCTTGCTTGCTTGCTTGCTTGCTTGCTTGCTTTGTTGCTTGCTTGCTTGCTTGCTTGCTTGCTTGCTTGCTTGCTTGCTTGCTTGCTTGCTTGCTTGCTTGCTTGCTTGCTTGCTTGCTTGCTTGATTTGACTGCTTAATTGCTTCGTTGTTCTCTTGCTTGCTTGCTTGCTTGCTTGCTTGCTTGCTTGCTTGCTTGCTTGCTTGCTTGCTTGCTTGCTTGCTTGCTTGCTTGCTTGCTTGCTTGCTTGCTTGCTTGCTTGCTTGCTTGCTTGCTTGCTTGCTTGCTTGCTTGCTTGTTCAAGTTGCAATCCTTAAAGTCATCGAAGAACTCCCCCGCCCTCTGCGCCTGCCTGACTGCCGCATTTGTTTTTGCTGCTTCCTTTCTTGCTTCCTTAGATTGTATGGTCTACCACGTTGAGACAGTCCAGAAACGCCAGAAACGCTGAGCCTATGCCAGGTCAACTGGCAGGCTCAAGCACTCACCTTTCAATTTTCCCACTTTGACCCATCACCCTGCCTGACTGGCTCGCTGTTTGTACACACAAGGGATGTCTCTTTTGTAGACACCTTTTTGAGGCGGTGTAAAAGGAATCTAAAGAGACATCTTCCCATCTTGTGAGTTCCCTCCAAAAACAGACAACCTGCATCGGTTCAATCCACACCAGGCCTCCTCGCCCGGCCGGGCGCTCAGACATGCGAAATGACGCGTGTGGATGCTAACCGGTGTGTCTGGTTTTTTGAGGGTACCCTGTTCTGGGGTGGATCCAAAGGGAAACTAAAAGCATACCCACCATTTTTTGAGAAACATCCACCTTGATTCCACCGTTCCTTGCCTTCAGATTCCTGCAGGGCCCCAAGGACTGTGCCGCCTGCCTGCGCCCTCGCGACTCGCGTTGCCGCAGCCTCGCCACGTCCCCACCATTTCGAACACGCGCGAGAGATGTCGTCCCTGGAGCTGGGTCTGGAGCCGACGGAGCTTAGCATGGAGCTCGGCTTTGAGGCAGGGCCGGGGACCGGGAGATGATCAGTCCATTGGAATGATTAACGGGTTCGACTGGAGGCTGATTGATTGCTTGATTGTTTGCTTGATTGATTGCTTGACTGCTTGCTTGCTTGCTTGCTTGCTTGCTTGCTTGCTTGCTTGATTTGACTGCTTAGTTGCTTCGTTGTTTGCTTGCTTGTTTTGATTGCTTAATTGCTTCGTTGTTTGCTTGGTTGATTTGATTGCTTAATTGCTTCGTTGTTCGTTGCTTGATTTGATTGCGTAATTGCTTCATTGTTTGCTTGCTTGATTTGATTGATTGATTTGATTGATTGATTTATCGACTACTTGAGTGATTATTCGATTTGATAATTTATTGACTGATTGTTTTGGGTTCGGTTTGATTGTTTGGAATTTGAATTGGTTTGGTATGTTTGTTTTTTGAGTGGAACTGTTTGATTGATTGGTCGATTGATGGGTGGGTTGATATTGTTTGGTTTCATTGTTCAGTTGAATTGATTGATCCAGCTTCTTTTCAGTGACCTCGATTCATTTTTGGGTGCTATGATCCGTTTGGAAAATATGGCCACTTAGTCCTAAATGACACTCGCGCCATTTAAAGGGCACTTAGACCCTCAGGGTTGCCCTCCCCAGCAAATCCCTCCCCAGTCCGGGCAAATCGAGCCGACACATGAATGCAAATGACACTCACACGGGGGGCACAAACCCATCAAACCAAAAAGGGCACTTAGCAAACGAATCAAAGGGGCAAATAGATTGGTTTTTAGTTGGTTCAACTTTGTTTGACTGGCTGGTTATTGGTTATTGGTTGACTGGTTTGTTTATTGGTTGGGTCAACTGCTTTGTTTGGATAGTTGCTTGGTTGATAATCTTTCGTAGTGTTGACCTTTCTGACAGGGCTCCCACGGGCCACCTTTGTCCTCGAAACTCCGGACTTTTGACGGGAGACCCACGCGGGTCCTTTCCATGAGATGCTATACTCCTCGATGCCAGGCTCGAGAGCAAAACATATGCAAATCAGGGCTTTCTCTCCCAGAGCTCTGAGCAGGACTATGAACAGCTGAGCTAAGATTCGCCAAAAACCGGTTTGTTTGTGACGCAGGGCTGGCCCGGATTGCCAGGATGGCAGCACCGAGGACGAGCTGCTCCTCGCTGACAGGCCGGGGGTCCGTGTGTGGTGGAGGGTGCCCCTTTTGGAGCTCGGCAACGAAACCGCCCCAGAATTCGGGCTCCCGTACTTGGAGAAGAAGATAATAGAGACATGGCTGGGCGCTTGCATCAGTGCCTAGAAGCAAGAGAGATGAAGGTTGGGTGTGTTGTTTGTTTACTGTATCTTGGGTTTGCTACAGGGTCTCTAGACTTTGTTGCAGATGGCACATTTCAAGTAGTTAGCAATCTCCCTTGTTGGCTAGCTTCTAGCCCGACACATTTTTTTCTATGTCGGGTAAGAGCAAAAAGAACATGTGACCCATGAGGGTGGGGGAACAACAGATTGACATGCACTTCATGGTCTCGCGCACCTGCAGTCCGCAACCTTCGCTGGCGCGGCGGGCCGTATTTGCCGTCGGGGGCGTGTGCCTGGTGGGCGTCTTGGTGCTGCGCCTCGGAGGTGGATCAAGCAATCCGTCATGGGGGCTGGGGGTGAGGGAGGGGAGAGGGAGCCCAACTAAGGCTAAAAACATAAGGCCTTATTCGGAACTTAATAGGAGCTTATTTTGGCTCCCTCCCCCTCCCCTCCCCCCCCCCCCAGCCCCTATGAGTCTGCGAATTTTCGGTTGGGAAAGTCTTGGGAGGTTTGGGAAAAGAACCCCCCGGTAAATCTCGCACGTTGGTATTTGGGCGCGTCTCTTTGTTTTTTGAGTTGATGTCGTTTTTTTGGGGGGTTGGTTTAGAGGGAATCCAAAAGGAAACCAGCCATCTTGGGTTGTTCCTTAGGGTCCCTGTGCATCAACATTGAACCCCAAATGCGGGTCCTCAGAGTACATCACTTTTATGGAGCTTTGTTTTAGAACCTAGGTTCGCAGACATCTCCGACATGCAAAGTTGCGTAAGCCCTCCAATGGAAGGATAATGGTTCCGTGGACATGAACAATGCGGCAGTTGGGGGTACGTTTCAACATGTCTGGTCGGCAACAGTGGCAGGACTGCGGTGATGAGCATGGATACCAATAGCACAATTCGAAGTCATGCTGTGCTCAAATGCTTCGTCACTTGTTGTTGCCGTCCAAGACTCTATTCGCAACCCAGGACTCAGAAGGGAAAAACAAGTGCTGCAGCCCCATTTAACTTGCTGTTGCTCAGCAGGGAATGAGGGAATGAGGCTTCTAAACCATCCTTTGTTTTTTTTTTTTGCGGAATCTCATTGCCACATCCCCTACTGGGCACCAGCAAGTTTATCCCCCCCAAAACCCGAGGTTTCTGCCTCAGACGCGCGGCGAGGCTCCTCAGGCCGACTTCGAATGGGAGGGGTGTGGCGGCTCATGGCATTTTTGGTAGTTATCAAACCCCGTGCTCCTTCGGACTCCTTCCACACTGATTCTTTGCCGGCCATGTGCCAGTGTAGGAAGGTTAAAGGGAATGTATGGGCATGGTATGGACTTTGTGGACCAATTTTGGCTCCTTTGAAGAAAGGCTCCAGGCCGCTTTGCATGTAATTGCGACTATGTTCAAGGGACACCAAGTGGGACCCAAAAAGAAGGTCCCCCAAAAGGAGACTTCTAAACATGATGGCTTTGTGCGTTCCAAGTTACTTCACTTCCGGAGTGAGTTGCCCCAAGAAAAGTCAAACAGTATCGTTTCTCCCAAACATGGTCTTCCCAACGGCAATTATTAAGTCCAGCAACTCCTGGAGGCCTCATGAGGGGTCCGTCGGCTTCAGCGCAACCTTGTAACAAAGTTGGCCGTGAATCTCTCCGCTGCCAATCTGCCTCAAACCGCGGCCAGGTGGCTTCCAGGGTCCCCTTCATGCAGAAGCAGGTGACTGCCCTAGACGAGGTGGTGAACGCCGGCCCGGGGCAGTTCGGCATGGCCGCTCGGGGAGCTCAAAAGCGGTTGGTCGGAACGATGGGAAGATGGGAATGTTGACCCCAGATTAATCAACCAACCAGTTTTTGTTAATATGGGGGGTGCTTTTGCCTGGTTTTAGTGGGGATTCATCACTTTTGGAGGGCAACCCCCCCGCCCCCCCATGTAAACAGGGGTTGATTAATATGGGGTCAACATAGTGACTTTGCCAGGTTTCGGAAGGACAAAGGTCAACATCCGGCAGCCTTTTCTTCCATGCGTTCCAGGTTTGCTTCCCCACTAGTTGCGGAAGATGCAACGGATGCTAGTTGCTTGTTTTTGCATCCCAATCTTGAACTAAGCCAAAAGGACATTGTGGGGAGGCTACAACACACAACCCTCAGCTCTCCACTTTTCAGACTGTCAAAGCAGACTTGTTGGTTGATGAGTCTGATGAATGTCATCTTTGGTGTCCGAGAAGTGCTTTGTGGCCACGGCCAGAGGTCGACGACGGCATTTACACTTATGGCGCGCCGGGAACTGCCAGCACCAGCCTGGCGGATTTGAGCCATGAGGACGCGACAGCTTGCTTGTGCCTGGGTCAATATTTATAAGGCCCATGTAATTGTCAGCCGCGAAGTGGCTGTAGCCCAGCCAGTTGGCCCCA